ATAAACTTTTTAAATTTCAAACAATTTAATTTCAAATTTATTTTGAAACATTACTATTTTGATACATTATTTATAAGATATTTATTAGGACCTTGTATATAGTAATTTTAGTTTTAATGAATGATATATGAAATTAAATTAATTTCGTATAAAATAAAAGTTTTGTAGTTATTAGATAACATTTATAGTACGTCAAAGTTTCCATTTTACATTTTTTTTTAAACCATCGCATATCATATACATAAATCAGTAAAAATATAAATATCTGCTTCACGTCTTGATGAAAGGACTTTGGACATTAGAGATACGAATTAGACCTATTTTGTTACTTAACAATCAGTCAAGAAGCGACATTTAACAATTATATTTATAAAAAATGTTTGCTACTGGGCTTAGAACGTTACGAACTAGTAATAAAGTGCGTATTTAAAACTTCGTTTTCTTCCGATTTTCATTTGTTTATTGATTAACCATATGATTAAGATTTACAAGTTATCTATTTTTTGTAATAAGGAAAACAGTAATAGTTTTTACTTTTGTAATATTTTTAAGATTTTTTTATTTAATAAGGCTTCATTAACAAATATTCACAATTACTTTCACAAATTGTTTATTGTTGTAGTATGGTTTATTGGCACGCTATGAATCTACACTAGTTATTGCAGAACATAACAATGAATCAGTATTCCCTATCACCTGCAATACATTAAGTGCAGCAAAAAAGATTGGTGGTGATGTAACAGTTTTAGTTGCTGGTACTAAATGTGATGCAGTGGCACAAAGTGTTAGTAAAGCTAATGGTGTATCCAAAGTTTTGGTAGCAGACAGTGATGCTTTCAAAGGATTCCTTCCAGAAGCATTGACTCCCCTTATTGTTGCAGCTCAAAATGAACATAAATTTACCCATATTTTAACTGGTGCTACTGCTTTTGGTAAAGCATTATTGCCACGAGTGAGTATTTAATTACATAGTTTATCTCTTGTATTGTATGTAATACAAAATATTTTATATGGGTCATATATGTAACCTTTGTTTTAAGGTTGCTGCTAAATTGGATGTGTCTCCAATAAGTGATATTATTGGTATTAAAGCACCAGACACATTTATCCGTACAATTTATGCAGGCAATGCAATTCAAACATTAAAATGTAAGGATAAAGTAAAAATAGTTTCAGTGAGAGGTACTGCATTTGAAGCAGTACCCTTGGAAGGAGGAAGTACCAAGTGTGAACCTGCATCAGCTGGTGATTTTAAATCACAATTGATAGAGTTCCTCAGGCAGGAATTGAGTAAATCTGATAGACCAGAATTAACATCTGCAAAGGTTATTGTATCTGGAGGAAGAGGAATGAAATCTGGAGAAAACTTCCACTTATTATATACTCTAGCAGATAAACTTAATGCTGCAGTTGGTGCATCTCGTGCTGCTGTAGATGCTGGCTTTGTGCCTAATGATTTACAAGTTGGACAGACTGGAAAAATTGTTGCCCCGGTAAGTTTAATTTCTAATGGGATAACATTGTCATAAACAAAGTTATTTGAAGTTTAATTAAAATTTTTCAGAATCTATACATTGCTGTGGGTATTTCTGGAGCAATCCAACATCTTGCTGGTATGAAAGACTCAAAAACAATTGTTGCAATTAATAAAGATCCAGATGCTCCCATCTTCCAAGTAGCTGATTATGGTTTAGTCGCCGATTTATTTAAGAGTTTATCGATAATATTAAATTTTTTACGATTTAAAATCTATACTTATTCATTTTTATATTGCATTAATAATCAAAAGCTAGTTGATTTATTTAAATAAATAAATAACGTATTTTAGGTTTTACTATTTATAGCACGAAATATGGTATGATAGCATCATTTCATGGGTCTTATGACACGTTATATTACGTGTGCGAATTATGTTTTATGTGTGAAAAAACCAAATTACTCTAAAATTTATGAAGGAATATCTAATCAAAATAGCAATTCCGATAATGTTTGTCGTTACTTTTTCGACTTGAGCGCCACGATAAACGCCTATCCATTTGTACTTCAGATATACATATATGTATACAGATGGAATCGCTGCCATCTTTGTCGTTTCTTGGCGTGGTGCATGGCCGGCTAGATTACCGATTTTTAAGTATATAGTCGTATTTATGTGTCTTGTGTCTTTAGATGTGGAAATTCGATAAAAAGCTTATCATGAGTATGGACAGTATTGAAAAATTGTACAAAAATTTTGGCATTTTGGCTGATGCCAAAGACAAACTGGCGGAGGTAACGTACGAATTTGGTTATATTGAATAACCACGCTCACTTAACTATACCTTATACAGTTTTGTGTATTTATAAGCGTAAAATGAGTATTCTATTTCTCCTATTTCAAAATTTTCAAAATTTGGCATGCCTCGAGTTGATTAAACGATACTTTAACCTTAGAAATGACTCAATATCGTACATAAATAATTAAATGGAGAAAGCGGTAAATATCGTCGGACCTAAAGTTTTTGTTTGCACATTGCAGCATGAGAAGGAATACTTAGAAATTCTAACAGCGGTGAAAGGATCGCCGAAAGAAAAACGATTAGCATCACAGTTTATTGCAAGGTTTTTTAAGTATTTTCCAAAATTGGCTGATCAGGCTATAGATGCTCATTTAGATCTCTGTGAAGATGAGGATATGGCTGTATGTTTCATTGTTTATACAATTTGACATATGTAATGCATGAGCAAGTGTATAGATGTGTGACATAAAATGTCCATATAATATAAATTTAATATTTACTTTTAGATAAGGAAACAAGCTATTAAAGATTTACCTGCATTATGTAAAGATAATAAGGAACATACAGCTAGGATTGCAGACATTTTAGCTCAATTACTCCAAGCTCAAGATCCATCTGAATTAGCAGTAGTCCATAATAGTGTTATGTCTCTTATGAAAACTGATCCAAGAGGTATTGAAATATATTATTATTTATTTAACATACGATGTGTTAAAATGAATACATCATAATGTTAATGCATCAAAGCATTAACTAATATATTCTTACTTTAAGGTGCCATAAGTGGATTTTTCAGTCAAATTATCAATGGTGATGATGGAACACGTGAACGTTGCATTAAATTTTTAGCAACAAAATTAAAAGCAATAGGTCATGATGTTATTACTAAGGAACCAGAAGATCTGTTAATTTCAGAGTGCAAAAAAGTGTTACAAGTATGATCACTTTATCTGATAACAAAAGATATATGGGCTTTTTTGTATCATTGTTTATTTGATCTTCATAAAATTTCTATTTTTGTAGGATGTTACTGCTGATGAGTTTCATAGTATTATGGAAGTTCTTGCGTGGACTAGATTAGGTTCAACAGTTAATGGGCAGCAAGAACTAGTAGATATTACAGTTGAACAAGCTGAATTATCAGAGCCATTTAAACATACTAATGTTGAACAATGGAATAGGCTTGTACAATGTATTAAACATGCACTTCCATTTTTTAGTGTAAGTATACCGAAGTCTATCAGTGGAAGTAGTGAAGTTTATAGGTGTATAATACCACATTTTCTATTTGTTGCAGTCTCAGATAGATTCATCGCGATTTGTTTCTTATATCTGTGTACAAGTTCTACCACATCTTTCTTTAATTACTTCACCTGATGGTAGGGATGTGCAACTGGAATTATTGAAGCTACTTGCGGAATTAGCTGTATTTTGTGGAATAATTGATAAACCAGAGGAAAAAGTACAACAACTTTACAATACTCTTATTGTAAGTAATAACAATATTTAAGAAAAACATATGTATTTAAAATTTCATATATGTAGTAGTACTATTATTTCAATATTTTCAGACATATATGCCATTACCTCCAGCTACAGAAATAACAGAGGTACCAAAACTGCAATTCAGCCATGTTGAGTGTCTGATGTATGCCTTTCACAAATTGTGCAAACAAACACCCGAATTTTTAATAAAAGATCCAGAACAACTCAAGGAATTCAGACTAAGATTACAGTATTTTGCTCGTGGTATTCAAGGTTACATAAAAAAATTACGGGAAGCGATTAGCGGGAAATCAGAAGAAGAATTAAAGTCGGAGGAGAATCAATTAAAAGTTGTTGCTTTGAAAACAACAAATAATATTAATACTTTAATCAAAGATCTGTTTCATTCACCACCTAGTTTTAAAAGTGTTATACATCTTTCATGGAAAACAACAACTAATGATAAGAAGGTACATATTAAATTTACTACAAATGCTTTATAAATTTCTTGTATTGAACATATTATTGCTATTGTTACATGTTACTCTAGAATGAAAAACATTCAACTACCCAAAAGAGACACACACCAATTACATTTGGAAATGACAGCAATTCGAATAAACGGAACAAGGAAGATAAAAGCAAAAGAGAATTATATACACCTCCTAGTGGAAAATACAGTTCAAACATATCATCAAATTATGGTATGTGAAGAAGTATTTGCTACTTTGCAACATCGTACTGAAAAATGCAATCGAGATTATTTTTTATTAATATTTTTTATAGGTCGAGGCAGATTTAGAGGAAACAGGGCAGGTGGTCGAGGAGGTTATAGACCAAGAGGTCGTGGAACGTGGAGAAAGAATTTTTATTAACTGTCTAATTGCTTGAATTGTTAAATGCATGAAATGGTAAAAGCTGCAATAATATAAAAGACTATGCCAGGCCTGTAAAATGTACATATACAAATGGAGAATGTAAAAGTGATTATTTACAGAAAGTGCTTTTTAAAAGAAGTGACAAAGGAAATACAACTTTTTGTTCTATAAATCTTAGTGTAAAGAAAGTGTTTTTGTGAAAGCTTTAAGTACATATACAAGTTTCAAATACAAAATTGTAAAAATCAATTATTTACTAAGCACAGTGGTAATTATTCTCAATGAAATATTGAGATTTGAAGAAGAGAACATTTGTGTGAAATAATATACTCACGGTGTTATACGAACTTTTTTTTATATATACATTGCGGAAACAAATGGAAAACACAATTTGGAAACACTTGGATTTGCAAAAAGTGAACAATTACGTGAGAAGAAGTGAGAAGAATAACACCATGGATTCAAAGAAGTGTACATTATGAGACCATTGATTAGGTATCTTAGCAGGCAATACAACAAAAGCGAAATAATGAAGAGAAAAAAGTGTATGGACAGTATTCTAATCTATAGAAACGACCGAAGAAGCATCAAATATTACAACAAAAAGTATCACTTATTTGATATGGAATGTTTAAAAATTCAAACTGTATAATGACTGGTTTGTGCTATGACATGGACACTGGTGTTGCAAAAGACAGACAATGTTTCTCTTCCACACAATCTTGGATGTTAAAATAGTATCAAAATGTATTTCCTTACCTCCTAATTCTTCCTATATCTCTTCCTTCATTCCATGTTATTTATTTTGTCAACAGGAGGGGAACACCAGAATAACCTTAGGGACACTGGATGATGCATCTAATTTCAGGAGGATAACGGAATCAAAGAAACTTGAAGGCAGTTCTTCTTTTCAATTCTTTGAATTATAAATTTATCATACACCATGAAGTTATACTTTTTATTTACAACTATTCTATGTTTATACCGTTTTTCAATATTTACATATATACTTTTTTTTCTTAATCAGATAAATAGTACCTTTTTTTTTTTTTATTTATTCAAATCACTGATTTATGTGCAAAAACAATGCAGTAGAGTAGTATATAAAATGTTATTCAAATTTTTCACTAAATAGTACGAACGAAAAAACATGATTTTACAAGTCTAAAAGTTTCTTTGATTATGTAGGAGTGCAGTCATAATTTATTATGTACTTTTATTTTGCAGATGCTGTACAGTGACAGGTGACTAACAAATGGCAAACTGGAGGAATAATAA